GTTTCGTTCTGACAGCAGTGATATGTTTGTTTCCTGAGTATTTCTATACGCAGGAAATTGTAAAATATTTTTCTTCTGGGACTATTTTGCCGTACAACACCCCAAATGTACCTCTGCCATAAATGCATTATGAAAATATATTTTAAACCAAGAGCTTATCTCAAAACTATCATAAAACAATGGCTCAGCCAATAGGCAGCGTACTCATAACTACTTCATGTAACTTTGTTGGGGTGTTTGCTGTTAAATGCATGAAATGCTTCAGACATTTGGTTCTAATCACCAACACTGTGAAGACATTTGACCCGGTAAGTCTTAATTCAAGTGAAACCACTCTGAATGACTTTGTTTATATACTAACAGTTTAATTATGAAGCAGCGGAATTCTCATCTAGGTACGTTACAACTGTTCAGATATAAACTGTCCCACAAATTACTACAATATACACCGATCAGGCATAACATTATGAGCACCTTTTTCTATGCTCCATTTTATCAGCTCCACTTACTATATAGGTGCACTTTGTAGTTCTACAGTTACAGACTGTAGTCCATCTGTTTCTCTGATACTTTGTTAGCCCCCTTTTACCCTGTTCTTCAGTGGTCAGGACCCCCATGGACCCTCACAGAGCAGGTACTATTTGGGTGGTGGATCATTCTCAGCTCTGCAGTAACACTGACGTGGTGGTGGTGTGTTAGTGTGTGTTGTGCTGGTCTGAGTGGATCAGACACAGCAGTGCTGCTGGAGTTTTTAAACACCTCAGTGTCGCTGCTGGACTGAGAATAGTCCACCAACCAAAAATATCCAGCCAACAGTCCTGTGGGCAGCGTCCTGTGACCACTGATGAAGGAGTAGAGGATGATTAGCTCATATTGTATAGCAGCAGATGAGCTATCATCTTGACAAGGTGGACCAACAACAAAGGTGCGTCTAATAGAGTGGACAGTAAGTGGACACAGTGTTTAAAAGAGCATAGAAACAAGGAGGTCATAATGTTATGCCTGATCGGTGTAGACCCATATATGCTGAGGTGAGCTGAAACACTTCCACAGTTTAATGTTCATTTTGTTTGCACATATCCTATGTAAGCCCAAACCTGCGGCCATAGATGTTACATCACTGGAAAAGACGAGTTTCTCTTTGTGTGTTGAATAAGAGAATCAGTGTGGAGTTAGTGCCACCTGCTGCCATTAAGTGGTAAAGCTTTACACTGGCCTAGACCAAGATTGTGGAGCTGTGATCAGCTGATTATTTTTGTTAGAAGAACCAGAAACACACAGTACTGTGCAAAAGTCAGAGAACGTCTTTTCGGTTGTTTAATTTTCAGCCAAAATGACCTTATAAGTTACTTAGTCAGAAGAAAACAGAAATATATTTAACCAAAAGTGATAGAAAGGCCTCCAATGCTGTGTATATCAAATTTATCATTTATCATTTATGATTTGTCCACTCTTTACTTTCGTGCGCTCCACTGCCACTTTAACTCTTCCATCCTTCCACTCTTAAAAGTGCCATTGAATGTATGTATACAGTATTTTAAACTGTTCTCTGATGTCTACACTGAAGGTGACTTTAGTCGGGGTGAAAAATGCCCAGATGTGGTTTCACACACCCATTAACAACCCTCAGATTTGGCCCTAGAATGAAACAGGCTGTTTGTCTAGTTTTCCTTTTTTTTTTGGTGGGGCTTATGAATAATTTGACAAGCTGTGCTCTGATTGGCTGGTTTACAGAGAGGCACTGTGAAGCAACATGTAGAAACAGACACAGGCAGGAAAATAAAATGAACCTCACTATAAATAAGCCACGCCACCTGCTATTTGGGTCATTCTATAGAAACGTCCACTTTTTTATCTGTCCATAAGAGTCACTGGTGTTAGTGATCCTCATTGGTGTTCCACATAAGAAAGGAAACACCAGAGACATTTTTAATGAACAATGCATTTTACAAAATGGCTGCTACGGAGCATCGAACCACATGTTGTCTATTATGGAATATCCACTAAAATATGAAATTTAATCCATTTGTATTCTATTTTTTCATAATTACCTAATTGTGAAAAAATATGTACTGTCGGCTCAGGGGATCGAGCTGGCGACCTTCTGGTCACAGGGCTTGTTCCCTAGCCTCCAGCCCACGACTGCCCCCCCCATAACCCCCCTAAACTCACCTTAGCTGCCTTCTCTTCTTCTCATGTGCATCTAAAGAAACTGGATGATACCCTTGCGTAGGGAAGAGAAAAGTCAAAAGAAAAGTGGAAAAACAGGAGGTCAAAAAAATGATTAACAGATAATGAGAATGTGGGAACAACCATGCAAGACCTGATGGAAAACCATATCTTGAAGCTTTCATCTTAAAGAGAACAGGAGAAATTTAAGCTCAACTCTTGCTTCAGATCTGGAAAACATCCACAGGTGTTTCTGTCCATCCTTCCACTGTGAGAAGACGACTCAGCGCTGTGGGTCTGAATGGATGTGTAGCTGTTAAGAAGCCTCACTGAGAAAAGAGGAAAATTTGCAGTAGAACACTGGAAACTGGACATCTGAGGTGTGGAGTGAGGTTTAACAGGGTGATGAGTTGAAATGTATAATTGGGGTTAGTTGGATCATGAGAAGCAGAAAATGCAGCCAAGACTGAACTTTGGAAAAATGTGTGGAAAAATATATCCCCTCAGAAGGGAAGCTGTTTAGGCTTCTGTGTATCTTTTAATAGCTGGTTTAACTGGGACTAAATAAATATAAGGGTGATTTCTGAGTTTTACACAGTACTATATATGTATTCCATTTGAATGATAGCACAGGGGATTTTAAACCAGTCCCATGTTCATGAAAAAAATCCAACTATTATTGACTTTTGATCAAAGTTTAAGTTTTACAGTAATGTGACTGCATCAACAAAGACCAAGGGGTATTTTACAAAGCAGGATTTCTCAGTTAGCCTGAAAAGTAGGGCCAAAAAATCCTGTCCAGTAGTTAAAAGACCTGAGAAACCTCATACTGGGCAGTCTTCAAGTTCTGCCTTAATTTATCCAACTTACTGAGAAATCCGTCTTTGTAAAAAAAATCCTGCTAGGTTTTCTCAGTTAGCCAGATAACTTAAGCCCCAAAAATGAGGATTGTCCAATAGGAATGTCCCACAGCTCTCTTCCTTTTGGCTGGGCCTGACTTTAGGCTTAAGTTATCTGGCTAAACTGAGAAATCCTGCTTTGGAAAATACCAAATTGAGTGATATTGAGTGATTTGGTGCATCTCAGTCCCAAAAATATTCCAAATAATTAAAGAAAAATGGTGTTTTGCATTATGTATGTTTCGTCTACTAGTTAAAGTACATCAATATGGCCAGCTAGCTCATTCAAACTGACCCATATGGCACATAATAGACCAATACATCATCATTAAACATTATTAAACAGCACATTGTAATCACCAGTAAGGCCCAACTGAGAAGCCCTGCTTCGTATTGCAACGACAAAGACTTTCAGCTGAGAAATGTGTGTGTTTTGGGGGGTGGAGGGGGGGGGGTAGGGCACTTATCTGCTTAAAACACTCGTAGCCATATCTTAGAAGGACAGTCATGGGTGGAGGGCCCGGAGTATGAAGCAACCACACACACGCTGACTTTTACCCACACCCTCCTCAGTTATCAAAAAGAGAGCTCAGAAATAATTGCAATGTAATTTAATCTATCATGGCTTATTTTTACAAAAGGGCAAACAATAACAAACTATGGAAGATTGTAAAATACTTAATGGAGAATAACACTCTGTGGCTCAGAGCTAACTTTAGGGGAGGGCTGGGCAACATGGCAATATTTATCACTGTCGTGATAAATGACATCACAATGTGTCACTACATGTTTTTGGAGCACATTGTGGATATCGACATCACCTAAAAACACTTCCCAGCTGCTTGCTTGATTAAAAAAAAAGAAAAAAAAAAGTATAATGCTGCTGTTGGAAGAAAACCTCGTATCTCCAAAATGGTAACTTTACAGGAGATGGAAGAAACATACTTTACTTTAAATGTAAGTCAATGGAACCAGACATCTTTCCTAGTCATTTTAGGATGATTCTTTTAGTCCATTCATCATGAAATTTACACACAATGTCAAGGCCAACAGGTAGTTTCAAATCATGTCAAAAACTTAAAAATGACAAAAACAAGGTTTTCTTCCGACAACAGCGATAAGTGTTTCTGAATTTAGTGGAACAAAGTATGCAAAATGTTGAATATAAATAATAAAATAATAGGAATCATATTTTTTATGGTAACTTGTTATGGCAAAAATAAATATTGTGACATATAGTGTGCTGTGTGCTGAAGTATTGTGATATTACATCTCTCCATTATTATTCACCTCTACTATAGGGTTTTGTTTGAACCTACATATTCATATCAGTACAAATCTGCCATACCAGGTGATTTCAAAACAGTTGCAAGTTTAATACATAATACATAAGTAACAAATGATATTTCTGTGCAGAATAGGAAAAATGGTCAAACTATGAAGAGCACATGTCAGACATTTAGAATTTGTGAATCATTTTCCCTGTAACATTAATTCTATGTAAAGTGAAGTGCACAAATCTGATTTTTGCCTTAATGTGACTCAGATCTGATGTTTGCAGGGCTGTGTGAACTCAAATCTAATCTTTTCAAATCCGACCTAAACCACTTTCATATGTGGTCCTAGATCGGATACGTATCCAATTCACGGCCATGCGACCTTAATGTGACACTCAGATAGGAGTTACCATGGCAGCAGCGCCAAACAGATGTTACAAGCAGCTCATCTCACCTTTTTCTCCTTCGTCTCGCTCTAATAATGAAGCTGAGAGCTGATCAGAGTTAATTATCTTCACAGCGAAGCTCGTTCTGCTCGTTAGTTTGTGCTGATGATGCACGTGATTCATTCACGTGACGTTACTGAGTAGGATGAGCTCATGAGGGTCATTTCAGGACGCCAGTTCGTTCACATTAATGACGGATTTGAGTCATTTACCTAAACGAGTGTGAACCATCATTTTAGAGAGATCGGATTTGAGCAAAAAATCAGATTTGAGCAATGAGGCTTGTAATGTGAACATAGGCTTAGTTCTGTAGGTCATCGATACCAAAAACACAGTGAAGAATGAAATTTTTCTAAAACTTCCCTGCTGAAATAAGGACGTGTACAATACTGTGCACCATTTGTTTATTTAATTTCCAGTCAAAATGACCATTAAGTGCAAGCTAGAGTTTACAAAACTAGTGGTTCAAAAATTATTAAAAGATATAGAGAAAATTGGGCCTCTTTGATCTGGAGAAGCCGTAAATGCAACCAACTTCTAAGACTGAACTTTTCAGAAAATGTCTCTGCAGATTTTTGTGAAATACTGAAAGCAGCCCTCCCAAAAAGAATGAGAGCTGTAAAAAAGGCAGTGTGGTCATATTAAATACTGAAAACAGAGATTATATTTAGTTTTTGAGGTTAATTTTCATGAAATATGTTTTTGTTTTTTTCCCCCAGATGTAAAATGTCATTTGTACCTGATGGCCTGTACTTTATGGCTGTACTTCCAGACTGGAAATTAAATAAATAAAAGCGATTCCTGACTTTCTCACTGTACCGCATGAAGATGAAGGAGTTTCCCTCTGGCTTGCAACAAACATCAGCAATAATTCCTAAAGCACTATGTGGACTACGTGTGACTTTGTCTGAATACAAAAATGTAAAGGCACGTCTCCATTAAAAGATACTGCATCCCACATGACATGAGCTCAGTCCATGTTCAAGTTCTTAAAATGTTCTGAAGATACAATTCTCCCCATGTTCACAAAGATCGGGAACAGCGAGTATAGAATAATAGAATAATAAAGATGTTTAAGATGATTGAAACCTCCAGCAGACATTAACTGAGGGTCAGCAGATCTACATGAGCTGATGTTTGTGAACACGGGCTAAACTTAGTATTCAAGTAAGTTTAACAGGTTAAGGCCATTCAAATGCTGCATAGCACTGTCAGTGTGATAATGCTTGGCCCTCCAGGACCTCTGTTAGCTGTTCTTAGACCTTCGTCTATCTCCTCATGTCTGTGTCTTCTGCGTTCTGGCTCCATGGCTTTTCTGGGGTCAGCTCTTTGGGGGTAGGACATTGGCCTGGAAGTGGCCCTGATTGGTGATGTTGCCGGCAGGAAAGTAGCGAGCCACCACAAAGGTAGAACCATCAGACGCCACTGCTTTACCCACGCCCAGCTTCTTCGAGCTCTTCCACACCATCGCGGTGAAGTGACCTGAATCAGAAAGGACTATTAGGCTTTGTTCACACTGCAGATAAAAGTGGCCCAAATCTGAGGTTTTTATTCATATGTGACACGACACAGATGTGTGTCTGTGTGTCAGTGTGAACAACAAAAAACACTGAATCTGAAATTTTCAATGCTGATTTGAGACGCTTTCATATGTGGTACTGAAATCTGATACGTTTCCGATATGCGGCAACTTGACTCAGTCTGAACAGCCAGATGGGAATTCATGCAACTTTTATGTGAATACAGCTCCACTTTCGTCATAATTTTGCGCTGCTGAGACTCATAAACATTTAGGCTGATGTTTCTATACTAAAAATTAGAAGAGACTCATCCAAAACCCTCCATGCCTGAAGAGATTTTGAAAGAAATGTCCGAATGCGGCCGCAGGAGAACGAGGCTGCAGAGTCACAGAACAGTTAAAAGTTTGAAAGCAAAGTTTAAAGAATCCGAGGACGCCAACCAAAGAAGTGACCGCGCCCTTTTTACAGAAAATTCAAACACATTCTGGGTGATGAGCCCAGCTGTCAGTCAGTGAAGCTTCATGATGGCTCCTGTGATGCTGGTGAAGATGATGCTGAACCTCCGGGAGTGATTGTTTACCTCTGGATGAGCCGTGAAGCAGCGTGACGCTCTGTTCTTTAGGGGGTCAGTTTAGGAGCTGACCTGTTCAGACTGATGTCGCATACAGATCACATTTAAAAGATATTGTGAACAGCCAATCAAAAAAATCGGATTTCGTGAGAAAGTCAGAGTTGGGCTACTTTTATCCGCTATGCGAACATAGCCTAAGTCAGTGAATTTAAACCAAATGTTCACACAATTGAGTAGTTCCTGATTCCTAGGTTGTCTCGTATCACACGATAGCTACTCTAAAAAATAAAAGGTGTTGCAATGACGCCTTAAAACACCCACTTTTGGTTCCCTACTGAAATGTATGGATGTTTCTTCAAAGAATGACTTTCTAATTCTCACTTAATTTGGAGAGTCCACTGTTGTCCCCTATTGATTTTCTACAGTTGTTCAAATTGTCAACAAACTGTCTGTTGAAACTCAGTTGATTCTAAACAGTGGTGGGGATTTGGACCAATGTTATGGCTAGGACCTGGGTAAGGGTTAGGATTAAATTTTGTCTTGAGGTTAAGGTTAGGATTAGGATTAGAGCCAGGTTTAGAGTTTAGACATTTAGTTGAATGTAACTTGAAGGTAATTAAGTATCTACAAAACATCTAAAGTGAATAAAGTGTTACCTGATTTTGTAAATGAAAGTAAAGAACCTTGAACATCCACAGATTGTGAATATTTTACAATATTTTTTTTTTCCTTAGTACAGTACATTCAAGCTGAGAACCTGTCAGAAACCTTTACCGTGGTATACAAAAGTATGGGCACCTCTAAAAAAACAATAAAACATAAAATATGGTCGGTGCGAAAGTTATGGAACTTTTTATATTATTCTATGTTGTATTTTTCCCAATATTTAAACTCCACAAATAAGCAGAAGCTATGCATTAAAAATTAGTAAAAGCCATATTTAATGTTATTCTATGTAGAGGATGTGTTAACTTATTTCCACTTGTGGTTCCACCAAGATATGTAAAGCCAGCCACTGCATCTTTTTCAAGCTGCTGCTCAAGCAACACCATAAATGGCCAATTCTGTCTCGTGACCTAACAGAGACGTGCAATTAAAGGGAAGTACTAACTAAACTAAAGGGAATTACTAACGAAATCATTACGATGTAAACAGAGTAATTCAGAATTGATGTGAAATGCTCTGTTCTAGAGAAACTTAATGAGTCAGAATTATTCACAGTCGTGATAGGAACCAGACATCTGGGCCCTTTTTCATGAAGCTTTTCAGATTAGGGGTGCTGATTTAGGTTCTGTTCCAAAGTCAAAGTCAAAGTAAATAATTGAGGAATCTGATGCTAAATCAGCACTGCTACTCTAAGAAGCTTTGTGAATATGGCCCTGAGGCAGAAAGTTATTAGACAAAATGGTTATGAATATGCTGCCTGATGCCAGAGACATTGTTTTAGGATAGTTTTGAGCTAAAATGATGATTTTTTAAAAGTCATCCATGGAAAAGAAGTAAATGCAGGGCACTAAATGTCAAAATAGTACACAAAGATTTTTTTTTTCAGATTTACTACTATTTCGCCATCATGAACAGTAATTTTGGGTATCAAATGAAATGTATTGTGTTGTACAAATCACAAAGCCTGGTTCCTATAACTACCACTGTAAATAATAGTAAGATTCTCTACAAGGAACGATTTCACAACAAACTCACTGTCAGTGACATAACAATAAGTACTTCCAGAAGGCCTAGAGTGAACTACCATTGCAACCAAAAACCAAAACCATTATAAGTTAATTCCACTGTCAGTTCCTAATTAGGTTAGTACAACCCCATTTCCAAAAAAAAGTTGGGACGCTGTGCAGAACAGAAACGAAAATAGAATGTAATGATACACGAATCATGTAAAACTTAAATTTAATTGAAAATAGTACAAAGACAACATATCAAATATTGAAACTGAGAAATTTTATTGTTTTTTGAAAAATATATGCCCATTGTGAATTTGATGCCAACAACATGTTCCAAAAAAGTTGTGACGGGGGCCTGTTTACCACTGTGTTTCATCACCTCTTCTTTTAACAAGTGTTTGGGAACTCAAAAGACACTGCTGTAGTTTGGAAAGTGAAGTGTTTTCCTGTTCTTGTTTGATACAGGATTTCAGCTGCTCATCAGTTCGGGGGCTCATTTATCATATTTTTCCTTTCAAAATGCACCAAATGTTATCAATGGGTGACAGGTCTGGACTGCAGGCAGGCCAGTTTAGCACCTGGACTCTTTTACTGTGGAGCAATGCTGTTGTAATATGTGCAGAATGTGGATTGACATTGTCTTGCTGAAATAATCAAGGCCTTCCCTGAAAAACACATTGTCTGAATGGCAGCATATGTTGCCAAAACATGTATATATCATTCAGCATTAATAATGCCTTCACAGATGGCGGCGCTTCTGGGTCCTGTTTATATATGATTTCTTCTCATTTATATATGTTGAGTTTTAACTTGCATTTGTGGATGCAGTGATGAACTGTTTTCACAGACAGTGGTTTTCAGAAGTGTTTCTGAGCCCATGCAGTGATTTCCACTACAGAATCATGTCTGTTTTTATTGCAGTGCTGCTTGAGGGCCCAAAGATCATGGTCAGCAAATACTGTTTTTGGGCCTTGTCCCTTGCGCACAGAGCTTTCTCCAGATTCTTTGAATCATTTAATGATATTATGTACCGTAGATGATGAAAAGCAAAACTTCTTTGCTGTTTTATGTTGAGAAATGTTATTCTTGAATTGTTACACTATTCACAGAGTGATGAACCCCTCCTCATCTTTACTTCTGAAAGACTCACCTCCCTGGGATGCTTTTTTATACCCAGTCATGTTACTGACCTATTGCCAATCAACCACCAGGTGTTTTTTTTAGCATTACACAACTTTTCTAGCCTTTTTTGCCCCGTCCCAATTTTTTGGAAATGTTGCTGCCATCAAATTCAAAATGGACATATATTTTCCAAAAAACAACAAGATTTTTCAGTTTTAACATTTGATTTGTTGTCTTTGTGCTATTTTTTAATGAAATATAGGGTTTAAATTATTTGCACATCATTGCATTTTGTTTTTATTTACATTTTGCACAGTGTCCGAACTTTTTTGGAAACAAGGTTGTAGTTAATCTGACATATTAGGTTCTCAGTTCAGCTTTTGAATGCCTAACCAATGGGAGAGCTCACTTGGCTGTATCTACCTAGATACCTACATAAAAACTGAATTACATCGCACATGGCAATCATCGGGGTCCAAGCATTATATGCCTTATGGAGCCAGTAGAACACAGGATGGGGCAAAGTTTTTAGAAATGCCTCGATTTATAACAGATGTGGGGTCTCACTAAATTTTGTGCACACTGGCCTTGGTATAGTAAGCAGATTTTAAACAAATATTTTTAAATGCATCAAAAAGCAGTAAACTATTTGGGCATGACTTATTTGTGCAGTTGTTAAAATCACTAAAACTTTCTGCTAGGATCGATGCTGCCGGACCCGCTACAGGGATTTTAGTTTCTGAACTGGTCACCTTTTTCACTGCTCATGAGTTTTTCTGTGTGTTAGTTACTTAAGTATTTGTGGCATGCGAGTCTGCGCGAACGTCGGGATGTCTGATTTGCTCTGTGTGTGTGCGTCGCTAATATAAACCTCATGACAACTATGTGACTACAAAGCTAAATATTTATATGCAGCGAGAGGAGCTGGAAAGGATTGGATCAAATTCATCACATCTCAACTCCTCTTCCTCCAAGGCTTTCTTTGCTTCCCTTTGCTTATGGGACATCAAAGTTATGAAAGGCTGGTTGAAAGAAGAGTGGTAATGGGGACATGATCTGTCTTTGGGTGTGTATGGTACACTGGAAGGGATTGTTCATGAGTGAGTCTTTAAGGGAACATGCAGGGAGCAGGAACTTTGGGAAACATCCCATGCCAATCTGATGAATCATAAGCCCTCTTAAAAAGCATCCTGTTACTAAATCCCAGCCTTTTTCAGAGACATTACACTAGTAGAGCTCATACTTTGTGATCCCATATCCTACCTACCCACACTTATTCATCTTATAATATTTGTGTGCTTTTATGTAAAAAAAAGTCATAATTCCTTTTTTACACAACCATTTCCCAATGTCTGTTTATCCCTAGACTGTTAGACTGTTTTGTTACTGAGCCTTTAAGACTGATATGGCCAAATGCATGTGGAAACATTACCATCATACCTATGTGAGGTTGTTGAACATTATATCTAAAACTATGGGCATTGATATGAAGTTGCCCCTGTTTTGCAGCTATAACAGCCTCTCTCTTCTGGAAAGGCTTTCCACAAGATTTTGGGGTGTGTCTGTGTAAATTTGTGCCCATTCAGTACAAAGAGCATTTGTGAGTTCAGGCACTTAAGGCCTGGCTCACAGTCAACGTTCCAGTTCATCCCAAATGGGTTTAGTAGGGTTGAGGTCAGGGCTCGTAAAACCATGTCTTTATGGAGCTGTTTTGTGCACAGGGGCTCAGTCATGCTGGAACAGGAAAGGCTCTTCCCTGAACTGCTGACACAAAGTTGGAAGCAAATAATTGTGTAAAATGTCTTTGTGTGCTGTAGCATTAACATCACCCTTCACTGGAACTAAGGGGCCTGAAAAACAGCCCCAGCCCATTATCCCTCTTCCACCAAACTTTACTGTTGGCACTATACATTCCCAGAGATAGTTTTCTCCCGGCATCTGCCAAACACAGATTTATCCATCAGACTGCCAGATATTCCACAATAATAGCACTTACAGTAATGCGAATGTGGCATCCTATGATAGTTTAAAATCATGGCTTGTCTCCGGAGATTGCATGGCTATGTGCTTGATTTTTTACAACTGCAGCAATGGCTGGAAGACCTTTATTTAATAATTAGGAGGTGTGTCCACATTACACAACTTTACTAGCCTTTTTTAGCCCTGTCGCAACCTTTTTGGAACATGTTGCTGCCATCAAATTCAAAATGAACATATATTTTCCAAAAAACAATAAGATTTTTCAATTTTAACATTTGATTTGTTGTCTATGTACTATTTTCAATGAATTATAGGGTTTAAATTATTTGCAAATCATTGCATTTTGTTTCTATTTACATTTTGCACAGCGTTGCAACTATTTTGGAAATAAGCTTGTAGTTAATCTGATATATTAAGCTCTCAGTTCAGCTTTTGAATGTCTAACCAATGGGAGAGCTCACTTGGCTGTATCTACCTAGATACCCACATAAAAACTGAATTACATCGCACATGGCAATCATCGGGGTCCAAGCACTATATGGCTTATGGAGCCAGAAGAACACAGGAAGGGGCAAAGTTTTTAGACATGCCTCAATTTATAACAGATCTGGGGTCTCACTAAATTTTGCACACTGGCCTTGGTATAGTAAGCAAATTTTAAGCAAATATTTTTAAACGCTTAAAAAGCAGTAAACAATTTGGTCATGACATATTTGTGAAGTTGTTAAAATCACTAAAACCTTCTCCTAGGCCATACTTTTGGCCATACAGTGTATTTTAGGCCAAAAAATGTTTTGTGAAACTATCATAAAAATAACATCTCAAGCATCAGGCAGCGTTAGCAACAATTTCATTTAATAACTTTACGAGGTAGCTTTTACAGATTATAAGAGCAAACTTACCGGTGCCAGAGGAGAATCCAGGATGGTTAAAGTTGTACTGATTCACCTCATTGTACCAGCGGTCAGACACATCCTTACCTACGAGCACAAACACAGCTGTCAGCAATAAATAACATAAAACATATGGAGTTCACATTTGCAAAATCAAAGTTCAATGAAATTCAGATTAAGCAGTCGTGATTAATTTGCCAGTGGGTGATCATGTGCTATCTTTCTGACTCACTGAATGATCAGAACACAGAATGATCAGCAAAGCCAGTGCAATAGAATAATGGTTCAGATATAAAAAACAAAGAATCTGATATTTATTTCCTTGTACTTAGAAAAGATCTGAAAACCTGTTGACTTGAAACACATTATAATAGAAGTCTTTGTGCAGATGCCACCTCAGTAACCATTACAGTCATATGTAAAAGTTTTAACACTAATGGTCAGATTACATGTTTTGTTGGTTTTTGACATGGGCACAAGTTTACACATCTTCTACAATTTTTCTGCAAATTTTAATGCACAATTTTGATTTATTGGCTTAATACTGAACATGTTGAAGAAAAAATAAAACATAAAATGTAAATGTCAACTTTTGCACATGCTGCATTTTATATAATTTTTCTCAATATGTTTAATTCAGCACATATTTAGCAAACAAATCGCTGTTGTCGGAAGAAAACCTTGTATCTCTGAAATGGTAACTTTACAGGAGAAGAAAAAACTACTTTACTTTTAATTTAAGTCAATGGAACCAAAGTTTTTCCAAGTTATTTTGGTCCATTTCTTTCAGTCCTTTCATCATGAAATTTACATACAATGTAAAGGGTAACAGGCATTTTCAAATTATGTCAAAAACTGCCAAAAAATGGAAATACGAGGTTTTCTTCCAACAACGGCGAAATGCATTATAATGTGCACCAGTGTACTCTGTGGAGCAGGGGTGTCAAACTCAACCAGTAAAAGGGCCATATTAAAAAAATATTTTTATTTCATTTTCAATTAATGTTGTGCTGTGACCCCAACTGACCATTGTTTATTCAAAATATCCAAAAACTTGAACAGTAAAATACAGATACTTGGACCTTAAAATATTACATGGGCACTTAAAATATTTAAAATGTAAATGTCTCCAATATCTAGGCCTTCTAAACCCACCTATTTGCTTGAACTAGACTCCTGGCATCCTTTCTTTGCTGCAAATTCATCAAGACTTGGGCTCAGTTTCTGAGGTGCTGAGCTAAAATTAAGTGTCTATATTGATTGAACTGCAGCTGAAATGTTTTTTGGTGATCCAACTGGTGTGGAATTGCACAGAATTGTGTAGCATTAAGGTGTAACCACTGTCCCATAGACTGTTGTTGGGGTAGAAGAGTCGGAGCACACATTATGTTGCAGTGCATGCTGGGGACTGTAGTGCAGCGCATTGTGGAACAGGCTAATATTAATAGAAAATTAAAATACTTTAGCAGGCCGGATAGGATTGTGTGGCGGGCCTGATCTGGCCTGCGGGCCTTGTGTTTGACACATGGGCTGAAGAGAGTTTAAACTTATTTTCACTTAGAAAATCAACTAAACATGCACCCAAACTTCTTCATAAACCTCAGACTACTTTTCCATGGGAAAGAATTGGCGATAATATGTTAGCAGCATAGTTGTGTGGACAGAAAATGAGAAAACGAGAAAAAGAAGGCAAAAATGAATGACATTCACTTATATCTTTTTCATCCTAAGACCTGTGCAGCGCACAACAGCTTTAGTATTGAATTTCACATTGTATAGTCAAATGTTTATTCAAGAAATTCAGCAAGTTCCCAGTGGCCTCTATTATAAAGTGATCTGTGTCAGTGGGATTTCATTTCTTTTCTATGAAAGAGGAAACTAAAAACAATTGCCAGTGGCAATCAATGGTACAAGACAGATGTGGCAGCCAGAGATGAACACAACATTGCCATTGAGAAAATGCAGGCAAGTTCCTCAACATTAGGTCATCAGGATAATGGAAACTCAAGAGAATTGAACGCCTTGAGTGGACTTCCAACCATAAAACAGCCATTAAAATTGAATTACATTTGACTTATCAAGTTTCTCAGTCAAAAGGTGTCTCCAAAATGTCATTATTACTTAACAGCTAATTGTTCTTTTGGTGGGATCTCTGGACAGACTGTTGGGCAGTTCCAGTGACGCATCATAGATTCTCAGGCATGAAATGGCTTTTCAGCCAAGGCAAACTCTATATGACCCATGATACATAAGTGTTTGACACTTTATAAATCTCCCTGGACTGGCCAGACATTCCATTCCACTTACTCACCGAGTTACAAAGCGAACATGGAGACTGTCACTACAAAATCAGTCCCAGCTGTTGCGAGAGGAGAGAAGAGGGTTTTCTGGTCACCTCATAGCCAAAATGTTCTCAACAGAGAACAACCAAAAGGGTAATCCTACCTGATTGATCGTAAGACGCCCAGGCTAGGTTTTCTCCACAGCTTCCTCTACTAGACTCAACACTGTGCTTTAGAATCCTGGTGCTGGCCAGACTCTCTGCATATCTACAACACATACACAGGCGATAAAGGTTTAGCTGGGAAGATGAAAATAATCAGCTAGGAGTGAAGACTAACAAGAGGACCCACTTAATTAAATAAACCTACGTTGTTTATACCCCATTTTATCAGGTCCACTTACCGTTTAGGTGCACTTTTTAGTTCTACAATAAAAGTCTGTGGTCTGTTTGCTAGCTTTTCTTCATCACGTTCATCAATGGTCATCACAGGACCACCACTGAGCAGGTATTATTTGGATGGTGATCATTCTCAGCACTATGACAGTAGTGGTAGTGGCATGCAGCAGAGGTTGCTAGACCTGGAGTCCTGTGGAAACTGACCACTGATGAAGCTACAAGTTGGATGTGTCTAACAGAGTGGTCAGTATGTTTTTAAACCCTGGGCCTGATGTACTAAGCATTTTATGCCAGTTTTATGTGCAAATTAAACACATTCTATCCATGTGTTATGTACAGAAACTGCTGAAATAAGTTAACACATCCTCTACACGGAACAAGCGTAAAGGGCCCACATCAGGTAGTTTCATGTAGTATGTAAACACTGTCAAAGTTTCAAAATGTGCTGTTCACTCCCCAAGTTAAGCCCCACTCATTTACATTGAAGTTATAAGGAGTGTATCAACATCGCCTGCTTTTTGAATGAGAACCTAGTGCAAAGCAGCCAATCAGAACAGCTGTAATATACATATGTAGATCTTAAGGGCCTTGTAACAAAAACAGCCTGTTTAATTAAAAAAAATGGTCATGTAAAAAAATTAGGACTGTTTTTAATACATAAAATCATACAAAATGTACAAAAAAGTAGGATATGGGCCCTTTAAATGTGGTTTTAGTGCACAATTTCTAATTGTCTGCTGAATTTAACATATTGGGAAACATAAAACATAAACTATTAAATCTGCAATAATATTCTTTATAAAAGATTTGTTACTTATTTTCACTTAGAAAATAAATGTGACGTACAATTGAAGCAGGGGTCCCCAAAAATTTTGAATACTACTGTATTTACTATCACTGTTTTAACTCTCAAGACCAGATGAAATCAAAACATGCTGTGATGTGGCTGCAATATGCACCTGCATTCTGTCTTATAATTTCACAAACTGTATTCTCTTAGCTGGAGTAAAATAATAAAGCAGTCAAGTGTTTTGGTAGGATACGATATAATCTATTAAAACCCCTCTTCTGCTTAGTGGGTGGGGCAACACAAAGTTTGTGTAGTAAGCCACAGTCTAAGGCTGGCTTTACACAGGGATGCTTTTATGCCACTAGTTGCATGTTGCGAGTTCCCTGTGGACAATTACATAAAGCAATTAAAAACAATCGAAGTTACACGTAACACATTCAGTTACTTCACTAGATTAGCCAAATTAGCAGCTCGTATTTTTAGATGAGCAGCTTTCAAACTGTGGGCCGCTGCCCCCCAGTGGGTTGTGGTGGTACTGCTATGGAGCTGTTGGCCAATTTTTTGTTTAACCTCAAAAGTTGGTTAAAATACAGACATTTAATCAAACAATTTCAAAAATGTCAAATTTCGTTAATTGCAAAAATAACACCTTTTATGTCAAGCTCAGTAATTGGGCAAAATGCTAGCAAGTTATGTTTACATTTTCAGTGCAAGTCAATGTGAAAAGTTTCACTTTTCAATCATATGGAACCCATCTAACATGTATAAATAGTTAAAGGGTCTTTCAAAAGGAAAAATCCTGAGGCTGGGGCATCTATAAGCAAAGTGGCCTCTGTATCTCAGACTGAGAAAACTGAGAAAATGAAGCATAAATTAAAACACAGAAAACATGAAGACACCCGTTTAAGGTCCTGCCACAGAATCTCAATGGGGTTCAATTGAGAACTTCAACTAGGCCATGTCAAACCCCAGTTTAGTTTCCTTTGAACCATTCAGAGGTGGACTTGCTCTTGTGCTTTAGATCGTTGTTTTGCTGCATAACCTAATTGCACTTGAGCTTAAGAACCAGACATTCACCTGCAGGATTTTCTGGTAAAGAACAGAATTAATGGTTCTGTCAATTATGGCAAGCAGCCCAGGCCCTAACACGGCAAAGCATCCCTACACAATCACACTGCCACCACCATGTTTCACTGTTGGTATGATGTCCTTATTCTCTTTCAAATGTTGGAATCACGAATGCTGACCTTATAGGTGAGTGTGGCCTACAGTTCCTTAGATGTTTGTCTGTGTTCTTTTGTGACTTCCTGGATGAGTCGTCACTGTTTTCTAGAAGACTGTGGTAGGCTGGACACTTCTGGAATAAGATTCACTAATGTTCCAGGTTTTCTCAATTTGGAGAGAATGGCTCTCACTAAGGGACAATGACTTTCACAATGACTTTTACACAGATCGGCTGATGTTGGTGTTTCAATGAATAAAATGGTTATTTCAACAATGTTTCTGTCAAGGGTTCAGGGGTATGTGCGTAGGTTTGTACCTAGAGGCCCAGAATGTATTAATCCGTTCCTGCTAACGAGAATATAACAGGAAGTGCAGAGATGCAAAGAACGTTGTAAACAATGGTTCTAAGATAATCAAGTGTGAATATCCTATCGAAATGTTTACTATCCAAGAACCATTTAGGAACGTATACATTTAAGAGTGTAGACTGACAGCATGCGGTGGAAGGCCTGTGAAGAGGAACCAGCCTTACCTCTCTGCATCTCTGCTTAGGTTCTTGCTGAGCTTTAATGGGTGGGGCCTGGTGCTTCTTCCTGTACTCATTGTGAGTCTTCAACACCTCCTCACAAAACAGCCTGGAGGCTGGGGACAAAGAGAAAAGGACAGAAATGCAGAGAGAGGTAAAGATAAGTCAAATTCTAATCCATGGACAGTAAGCTGTGCAGTTGTCAGTATGTAAAACTAGTTACTAAAAGGGCTTTAGCTGCGTTGCTATACTAACAAAACTGTGTTACTTTTTAAGAGAAGGAAAAAATCTTCGATGTATGAAAGAGGGGCAGCCTAAAACTAGAGCTTTATATGATACTTGTAATGTCGTGCAGTATTCTGCAGCAAGAGCAAGACATTACGTCCCTTAGCCCAGGGGTCGGCAACACGCGGCTCTGGAGCCGCATTCAGCTCTTTTCCTGCCCTGTTGTGGCTCCACAGCTGAATTAGATTTGTAGGTAAAAATAAAATAATCCTCCTTTACAGTAAAATAAAGCTCTGCTGATCGTTCAACACAGTTTAACAATAAATGGTCTTAAACTCTGGAGTTAATGTAGAACTGCTAATTCACCCTTTAACCCTGAAGGTTGGTGCACTGACTGCTGGTCATCATAGTGACACGGACAACAATCTTGCCTAGCTAGTAGCTAACGAAAAGACAAGGAGAGAGATTTAAGACGAACATCGATAATTTGGAAACAAATGGACTTATTTGCATTTATAATCACTCCAGCTGGTTTTCTGATACGTTTAATCTGCAATGAGAAGCTCTCAAACACTAAAAAGTCATGAAGCTGAAGAAATGTGCCACCTTAAATGGTGCAAGAGTTAGCTACATAGTTAGCTACATTCTGGCACCTCAGGCACCATTTAAGGTAGAATGGGTAAACAAGAAGCTGGTGAGCGAGAAGCGACTTCAGCTTCGTAAAACGTTGATGTTAAGAGACATTTTACAAGAAGCTGTTCTACTCTTGTGGAAAAGTTTCCCGCAGAAGATGCGAGAAAAGCGGCGATAGCTGAGCTAAAGCTTTAAGTAGAGCAAAGCTAGTCTGCGTTTTTGTTTACATTATATTTTTAGCCTGTACTAGTACATCAGCACATACTGAGACACATTTACAGCCAAGATGGTGAAACATTACTTCAATAAAATGGACATGAAATGTTGTGGCTCCTAAGGTGGTTAGATTTTTGATGAAACTTGACAAAATGGCTCTCCTTAACATTTGGCTTGCTAACCCCTGCCTTGGCCTCATCGATTTGACAGAATTAATGATTTCAAATTGATTTCATGCTTATATTAACCAATGTTCTCTCATCCAGCATGCAGATACATCATAAACCACTGAGAAACCCTGTGATGTCATCAATCCTGACTGCTAGCCTAGCCTAGCCTAGTCTACTAGCTATAAAGCTGGCTTTAGTGTAACACTTACTTCAGTCATTAAACAAAACTGTAAAGAAAACATGTTTATATGGCATAAAATGAACACCAGATGCGGCTTTTTTAGCCGTTCGGCAAGAGAAACGGAGCCGGACTTAAGTAAAATATCTAGTCAGGGCTTTTGTAGCGTAGCTTGCTAACTTTAGCTTGCTAACTTGAGCTTTTAGCTTGTTGTTTCAGTGTTGCGCAGTAATGGCTGCAACAAAACATTTAGCTTCCTAGCAATAACATTAGCAATCTGCTTTCCTTTCCCAAAAATCCACCCCAAATCAGTTTTTTCCCCACCTTCCAACCTTCAAGATATTTCACCAAAAGGGGTTTTCCTAGTCTTTCAAAAGGGAAAAAAGGTCTCTGAGTTCCCAGCTTAAAATCTTTTATTAAGTGTGTCACTACAGTTGTATACAAAAGTTTGGGCGGCCCAATACAAATGACACATTTAGTGAAACACACGTCTGCTCATTTTAATGCACAATCACCGTTTATTTGCTGGATTTAACACATTGGGGAAGAAATAAAAAATAAAATGTGCCATATACAAATATAATGGCACATTTTATACACTGAAATCTGTAGAAAAATGCAGTACATATAATGCAGTATATATGTCTGTTACCTGTAAATGATGTATTAACTTACTTTTTGCTTAAAATCAACAAAAACGTCATTTGAACAAGGGCATTCAAACTTTACCAAAACAATATTTATCATAACATACACTATCATAAGTTATGAAGCAACATTTCAATTTTGGATGTACATTTTCCTTTACTTTTTTTTTAACACCCATAGAGAAAAACATCATATTAAATGAATACATAAAAATACATTAGAATACACAGTTTTGGTTCAGTTTCAAAACATGCAAACTCTTTCAAAAAATTCCAAGTTTCCTAGAGCAGAGTTAATTGGGTCAGCTGTAAACATGCAGGACAAATAAAAAAATGACTTTACATGTGAAGTTGTTACCACTTAACCCTCAAATGAACAACGCATCATCTGAATCGCACTGACTATTGCAGAGGCCTTGTCAGAAATCCAACTACATCATGCTCGCCAAACAATGCAATGATTGAAAGCACGTCACACACACACACACACTGCAACAGAGCGTGGCAAGTTGGCACACAAAAGCTGCCACATGCCTGCCTGCCTAATAAAAATGACAGCAGCTGCAACAGAGGTGGACAAAACAATGTTACATTAGGCCAACATTAGTAACATGAGGCTACATGGACCATCTTAAAGCAGGGCTCTTACCTGATTTGCCCATGATGAGGAGAGATGGAGAGATTCTCTTCTCTGGCTTCTACAAACTGCCTCCTCACTGCTTCTGGCAGCTGCTGCAGTAGATCAGCCTCCTCTCTCTCTCACTTTCTTTCTCTCTCTTTCTCTCTCTCTCTCTGTCTCTGTCCTGTAATATGTACCAGAGTCTTTATCCTTGCTCCTCCTGTAGCGCACCCAAGTACAATGCTTCTGTCTTCTTTCAAGATGATCACATTCCCTCTACACTTCCACCTCTTTCCTTTCCCTCTCTCTCGCTCTGCCCTCCTTTTTTCTGTGACTGTGTAAAGGAGAGGGAACTCTCCGGCTGTGATTACATCATCACTGTGGGCCATGTGACCTTATATGGGGCTGGCACAGCTGCTTTCAGATGGAAACACTGAGTTGGAAAAGAGCTGTAAACTTGACCAGGAACACACAGAGGCACAGGAGGGACTCTGCTGGCGTGTACAGGGCGTTCCAGCCCGCGATCACGCTGAGGTTATATTTACAGATCCCTGCCCTGCTTTCACTTTATGGTTGCTTGTACAGTTTCAAGGAAAAGGTTTGAGGGTTGGTTTTTCCCAGTGAACTCTAATGTTCCAGTTCTAATCTGCATGTCTTGCGCAAACTGAAACAGTGAGAAGTCTACGGGGATTATTCATCATCTGAGCTTGATGTTTTATGTAATGTAATGGGGTTCTCTGACCATGCCAGGCATTACAGTACCGCTCCAGAGCTTGTTTGGGATGGGGAGAAGTGTAATGGATGGATGTATAATGAATATTGAGATAGACTGTGTAAAGTATATAATCTTTTGAAGAGCCCAAATAATGAAAATGTGAATTTTCTTCCATTTTGATGTTATATGTAAAAGATAAAAAATTTAAAGCCCAGTCCATTTATTGAAATTAAGCTGCAAAAGCCCATTTTTAATTAATTTATTTTTTGTGATGTCACAAAAACCAATATATAATGAGTGTTTTAGCCTAAGCTTTTTTTTTTTTACTCAATTTTCTCCGCAATTTTAACAGTGACCCCTATCACACACTCTCAGAAATAAAGGTACCAAACTGTCACTGGGGTAGTACCTCTCTGGTCACTGGGGTGGGACCCTTAAGGGTACATCTCATTACCTTTAGTCAGGAAACATAACTGAACCATAATCCATTGAAATTATATTTTCTAAGCTGTACTGACTCCACACACCCCGTCTCGTCTCCAGGCTTTTATTTTATTGTTCTGTTTTAAAACATTCGGTTATGAAAAGGTACAAACATATATTTTTCACCTAATTATGATGCACGGTGCGGTTCTAGTAAATACTGTTTTTGGCTATTTTGGCACACACAATGTCATCTCAAACTAAGTGGCATGCTTGATAAATTATAAAACGATGTCCAGTGTCAATAGGCCGGGAACGGTTGACGAATCGCACATGGGTGTGGATATGTACGCCCTGCTGACACATGTAAACACAGGCTTGTAAGGGCCTTACAAAAGTATTTAGACTTTAAAGCAATTCTCAAATCTCAAAAACTTTTATATAAGAAAATAATTTCAAACAACAACCCTGCAAAACTTAAATATGCTGTTTGCGTAAGTATTTAACGCCTGTGTTTCAGAAGCTGAAGTGAAAATCAACTGCCCTAACGAGGAAACAACTGCTGAACAACTGCAGTTTAAATGTGAGCCATTAGAACAACTGCTGCCTTTTCAGGATAGAAAGTCGACAGTTGAGCGTCTATTATTCACACTATGAATCTGAAGGCCAGGTGTGAAAATGAACACTAAAGCATGTTCCGAATAAGGACAGATTAGGAAAAGGCTCCAAAAGTCTTTGGCTGACCTATCCAGTGCTGTAAATTTAAATACCATCTCAGAGTGAAGTATGGTGGTGGGTGCATCATGCTATGGAGTAGTTTTGCAAAGCCAGATGTGATCTGGCTTTGCAAAACTACTCCATATTTTTTTGATGTTCATGTTGAAACTTTGTTCTAAACGGATTTCTGTGAAGCTGCTTTGTGACAACATCAGTTGAAAAAAGCGCTATACAAATAAATTTGATTTGATTTGATTTGATCTCATAATGAGAATATCTGGGGAGGTGTGAAATGTTGAGCTAAATGTGGGTTGGACCAAAAACTCATTCGGGGGGAGCAAATTTCGATTTTATTACTGAAATATCCTAGCACACGTAATGATTTAGTTTGATATGACATTGTTTATATAAGAAAATTGTTTTAAGAAAAAATGTGAAAAACAACCATGCACAACTTAAATATGCTGTTTGCATAAGTATTTAATGCTTGTGGCTCCAACGCTGAAGTGGAAAACAACTGCCCTAACGAGGAAACACCTGCCTAACAACTGCCCTTTAACTGTGAACCATTAAAACAACGGCTGTCTTTTCGGGATAAAAAGTCAACAGTTGAACGGCTATTATGCAAACTATGAATCTGAAGGACAGGTGTGAATGAACACTTAAGCGTGTTCCAAATAAGGACAGATTAGGAAAAGGCTACAAAAGTCTTTGGCCATTCTATCCAGTGTAGTAAATTTAAGCATCAGGAAGTGGAACCTATTTCAAAACACCCAGACGCTGAAACAGTCACCTCTCAAAACATGCCAGAACAAGAAGGAGACGTGTGAGAAACGCCACAGAGAAACCAACAATTACTACATGTCAATAGCTTCAATAGCTGAGAATGAAGTAAAAGTACCCCAGGCAGCCTTATCAAAACGTTTGCATAATGCTGGCCTGTATATGAACGTTCCACAAAAGAAGCTGGTTCTCAGCAAGAAACCAAAGAGGACACATCAAGAGGCCCATGTGCTATGTTTGAAAAGATTCTATGCTCAGATAAAGAGCTACATTTAAAGCTACATCATATCTAACACTGCAATATTTAACAATACCATCTCAGAGTGAAGTATGGTTGTGGGTGCATCATGCTATGGAGTAGTTTTGCAAGGCCAGATGTGATCTCACAATGCGAATATCTGGGGACATGTGAGATGTTGAGCTAAATGTGGGTTGGACCATTAATGATGTTGAGCTAAATGTGGGTTGGACCATTAAATCATTTGTGGGGAACAAACTGAATTTCAAAACCAATCCTATTGAACTTAAAGCTCAAAGCAATGGGGGACATGGTGTGCAAGTCTGTTTAGAGCCCACAGAAGTAAAAATAGTTAACATGGCTAAAAAGTCCCCCAAAATAAGTCCAATTAAGCAGGTAGATGGGGCGAAAATAAGCATAACCTCTATACTTAAGCATAACCAGGCTATACTTTAGACAATATCGCTGGGCTGTTCATTAAAGATGGGTTACCAGTGGCTCTGCCGTTCACATTTGGGGTTTTATAGGGGTGTCTGGACCAGTAAGAACAGCTGTGGAGCTGCTCTTCATTAGCAGTGACTAGACATTGTGAACTGAATGAAATACAACTAAAATCAAGAGGCAATTAGACTGTATAGAGATATACATAATAAAACTAAAACCACTGCTGCAACAACAGCACGAATAAACTGCAGTGAAGACATGCAACAAAATTAGTTAGAACTATTAACGGTGGACTCTGGACTCAAAGTAAGGGCTAGAGTTGCTACCTCAGCCTTGTAAAGTTCCTGGACATCTTATCAGTGGCTTCTCAGGAATTGTATTTACAGTTATTGTGCTGCATGTTACCTACGCTGTTAGAAATAAAGGTTCTGTTCAGGTACATTTTTCATTCATGAAGGTACAAACAGTGTAAATGTTCCATCAAAGGTACAACAGTGATTTTAAGGTCTGATTGTGAACATTCAGTAAGTTTTTCCAGGTGAAAAGTTCGTATTTGTACCTTTTAATTACCGAATGTTTTAAAACAGAACAATAAAATAAAAGCCTGGAGGCGAGACGGGGTGTGTGGAGTCAGTACAGCTTAGAACATATCATTTCAGTGGATTATGGTTCAGTTATGTTCCCTGACTAAAGGTGCTTTCACCCCAGTGAAAAGAGGGGCACTGCGACAGTTTAGTACCTTTATTTCTGGGAGTGTAGTGCCAAAACATGTTGCCAATAGTCCACCTTTCAGGAATAGCATTATTTTTTTCTGGACAGACAACCAAAAACCTGGTCAATCCACAAAAAACCTGGACTAGTGGCGTCCCTAGTGAGGGCACACATTTCCTGCTGTAAGACTGGATTTAAAACATTTTATTTATTTTATTTTTATTTTCAGCATAGGTTTGTATGCCAGGGTGTAAAAAATGAACTCACGTTGCTTTAAGTGCTGCATCCAGCTCTTCATATTGTATACAACATACTATTTATGCTTAAATGATATGTATAACTTTATTATAATGATTTATTTTTTAAATCATTAGTTTCTTTTTTCTTTTTCCTTTCTTTTGCTAAAGTAGTTTTAACAGTCAACAATGAATATCTGAAACTTCTTCAACAAAGAGGAAGGTACATGGTTTATGATATAATATAATAAAAATGAATTAACAGGCTGCCCTCCTCATGAAAAAAGGCTTGTAAAGTGCTGAATCAATAAAAAGGTAAAACAAATAAAAAGTTCTGAGAGCAATCGTGTAATAATTGTAAAATATTTACTGGACTTGTACTTGTGCACATGTATATTTTGGCACACAGCCTTCCACAGTGTGCTCATAGCATTCTAGCCAATAACCCACTAAATAGGACTACCAGAGAACTTGTAGAGAGGAGAATTACCACTCTGCAATGTCTTCCGGGTTTCTCCAATGCTAGAGGGCGCTCCTGAGCGAGTCCAAAATGAATGGGTTGACATGGAGCACTTGAGCAAAATCACAGTTTATAAATGATCAAACATTTTTAATGGAAAAGAATACAATCATTTCCTGAACATAGAACAGCATAAAACATTTTAACGCTGCTGTTATATTTTAAGAGCTTTTAAACTTGAGTTATAGGAGTTGTAAAACGGCTGCCTCATGTACTGTCCATGACGTCTGTGAGCGCGAACAGCCAATGAGCTGCT